AGGCCCGCTCTACTCGTGCTCAGGCTCGTGATTTCACGAGCCCGAGCCGCCCACGAGCTGAGTCGACGAGCCGCGAGCTGACTCGGCCCAATTGACATCCCTAACTGTGGGGAACATGTGCAAAAATATAAGTAAAAATTGAAAATCTTAATTGCAAATAAAAAGTGGTGCGAATATAATTACCCTTGGTCCTTGTTTGAGCCATATTTTTTCAAAATTCATTTTTAACCACATATTCTCCAATAAAATAATTTTACACGTAAATCAATTTTTTCTTACTTTCTAACAACACATTCTCCACAAATTCACTATAAGAAAATGCATTTTCTCTTCAAAATGGAGCTCATCAAAATATATAAACTTTTGAATTCAATTTGTTACAAGAATTTGAATAGATGTTCATGAATAAGTCCATGTTCGACGAACCTACTTTTGGTAAAAAAAGAGTTTTAAATAGTGATTTTTGATAAAATGGCTAGTCAAAAAATAGGAGAAAATTTTGAATTTACGAGTAGAATATCTTATCTTCTAACTATATGATTGAAATTGAGTATATAGAAAAAAAAGTAAAAAAAGTATGATTGTAAAATAGGGAATAATTTGGACTCGTACGTGAGGATCGCTTGATAGGGAAATGATAGAATACCTTGTAAATGTTAAACCTCATCCCCTAAAAAAACTTTAGGAATATACATCCTTTCACGCTTCAATACGATTTGTTTTTTATTAAAAAAAATCAACATGTGCATAATTTTGAAAAATGGATAATAATGTGAAAATTTGTAGTTGAAAATGAGTTTCGAAAAAAATGAATTTTTAAATAATGAGGGTCATATAGGAATATGTCTGATATAAAATTTTAAATTATTAACCTTCCCTATGAAAACCCGCAAAACTAATCAATTTGAACTTTTTTTGTTGTTTGTTTGTAGTAAAGAAAGGGATTTGCTGTAAGTACTGGGAATTTATACACACAATTTAGCCCTTGTTTGAGATTTATTATTTTCATCAAAATACGTTTTTCAACAGTGATTTGATATCATTTTAATCACATAATTTTTAATAAAATTATATTACACTTAAATTCATAACTTTTTTTTTTAATTTTTTAACCACACATTTTCCATCAAAACATTATTCAAAAATACATTTTTTCCTGCTAAAAATAGGATTCAAACAAGAACTTATATTCTATGTGCTTATTTGATAGAGATTTGGATAATTGATTTTTTTACCATTAGAGATAAAGTGGATCCTACTTGTGAGAGAAAAATTCAAAAATAACGATAGTGAAATAGCAATCAAAAAATTTATTTTAATGGGCTTTTTAATTTTACCAAACAAGCTCTACCATTTAAAAAACACTGTTCACAAATGTAGTATTGACTGTCAATGCAGTGCGGGCCAGCGGCGAATCTAGGATTTCGACTCAACTAGGGCGACCGTTGATCGTTTCTGTTGTCTGTCAATAATTAACGACTGTATAGCGATATCGTTTATTAATATTAAATTAAATAATATTAAAATTTCTTTGATCTATATGTAAATATACTAAAACGTAAAAATCGTATATTTATATCATATTATATTTTCATACAATCCGAAATAATATAAATTATATGATACATAAGACTTCTTTGTGTTATCAATACTTAATAAATCGTTTGCTTGGCTAGAAGTAGTTGAGAGATTAGATACACCACTACAAAAATTAGATTAAAATCCAGTTGAAAAAATCATTCCATAATTAGTATGAGAATTGAACGTTAATCAAAGATTAAACGTAATTAAAAGTAATTTAAAAATATAATTAAAGTTTCAATTTTCAATTCTCAACACCAATTCATCACAAATTATAAATTGCCCAATTTCTCATTTTTAATTTTCATGAATCAAGTATTCACATTTCACGATACTCAAATTAATTTTTTATATCACAATTCACAATAGATAAATTCTCAAATAACATATAAATTAAAATTCAATACTCATCAGTCATATTTTATAAATTATTAAAGCATAAAATATTTAAAAAAAAAAAACCTTTTGTAAAGTCTTAACATATATTATTTTGTTAAATTTAAATTCAAAATTCAACCATTACCATAATGGTTAAGCTTTCAATCATCCTAATTCTAGAAGTTATAGGTTCGAATCGTTCCATTAGGAAATTAATTTTGGTAAATATTGTAAAAATAAAAATTTTACACAATGAAATGGAGGGAAAGGAATCGAACCCAAGACTCACAATATATAAAAGAAAGCTCTAACCAACTAGACAAAAGAGAGGTTTGAAAATAAAATAAACTATCAATTATATAACCTAAAATTTTTATCTATTACCAACAAAAAAAATTCTCCCCGACGAATCCAGCTAGGGCGGCCACATACTAGATCCACCCCTGGTGCGGGCAACAACCGTGAGGATGGTGGGCGGTGACTTCCACCGTCGTTTCTCACTGGCAGTTGACTAGTGGGCTCCACTTCCCTTTGCTTCTGCTAGAAGATATTGAATAGTCCAAGTCCTTCCTATTAGATTGATGGAACTCGTAGAAACTTCTAGAATTTGTAATTGGTAATTTGCAGTTTGAATTGATGAAGTTTTTATCTTATGGTGTGATCGATTCAAATACCGACAACCGTTTCGCAAGTTAGATTACGAGCCTGTTTGTGCCTTTCTTTTTTTTCTTTTTCTTATTTTTTTTTTTACTAAAAATACATTTTAAAATAGTAAATTAATGAAGGATGTGTGATTAAAAAATAAAAAAAATTTGAATTTATTTGTAATATTATTTTATTGAAATATGTGTGGTAAAAAATAAAAAACAGAAAAATGTATTTGAGAAATAATGTAAATCAGACAAGGCTGTAATTGAAAAAACAAAGAAGAAAGAAGTTGAAATATCGCCCCCAACAAATTCTTATATCGCGTACATCAATCAAATGAATCACAAGAATAGATAGACCTGTTTGATAAAAAAAAATATCGACATATAAAAATCATTACATGAGTTGGATTGCAATCAATAGTGATGAAAAAATGTTGAAACCTTGCACTAACAAGTTCTAATAACGTGTACATCGATCAATATGGATGGACATGCTCGATAAAAAAGATTGAATTAGTTTGAAATTCATTCAATTTTATTTAAAGCATGTTTGGGAAATATTCATGAACAATTTTGTTCAAAAATAAATAAAAAATATTGTAAAATTTCAAGAAATGAAAGAATAGAAAGTAGTTTAAATGTTTATAAACATGAGTCGAACACAGGCAGAGTTGCTAATAATTCTATGTTTACAATCTTTTCTTATACTTTTCTAAACAATACTTTATTTATTAACAATCGACACACTTGTTAGTGGAAAAATTAAATCCAAAATGCTTATTGATAGACATAAAATATATTCTGACAAAATTTGCATGTTTTTCTTGTAATTTAAATATTAAAAGGAGAATAGGAGATCGACCTACGTAAAAGGAAAAGTTGATTTCACGTCTATTTGTTACTTCCTTATAGGCTGCTATATGATTGAATCGTTATTTTAAGTCCAATTGTACAGAATTTTTGGATAAAAAATCCTTATAAACAACACATGGTACATCATCATTGGAGAGTAAAAAAAAAAAAAAAAAAAAAAAAAAAAAAAAGGTCAACCACATTTTGCACATTATTGTAAAAGTGAAAATGAAAAATATAATTATTATAGATAAAAAAATCAAATATAATGAAAAAATAATGGGTCTCGGGATACACATTCTGTTAAAATTTTATTCTTTTCCACCCCACGTAACTTTCCATTCGGTCAAGGGCAAAATAGAAATTTCAGTTAAAAGCGGTATATACGCAAGAATATTTGTTCAATATATATACACGCGCACACACATACATTCATCTTACTGAATTTTTATCTGGTTTTGTAGTGTTTTTAGTGGAGGGATTTTGTTTGACGGAAAGATAGAAGAAGCTTGAGTTATGGCGGTGATGCCCGTGGACCCTTTACCGGTCGGATACAGGTTCCGGCCGACGGATGAGGAGCTGATCGATCATTATCTGAGGCTGAAAACAAACGGACGTGAAAAAGAAGTTAATATTATACGTGAAATTGATATTTGTAAATTGGAGCCTTGGGACTTGCCTGGTAAAATTTGTTCTTGATTTTTAATAATCGATTGGTGTTTTCAGGAAATGGTCTGGTACTTCATGGACAAATTAATTTTTTCTTTTTACTTTATGTTGGGGGTTATATAATGTGCCTTTATTTTGGTGGTTTATAATATTGGAATTGGGGGATTTCCGAGATAAACGGTTTTATTTGAAATTTGGGGTTTTTTCTTTATTCTCTCTGAAATGATAATTTTTGTATTTTAGTAAAATTATTGTATGGATATGTATCTTGTGTATGTTTTTGTTAAGTGTAGCTGAAATTTGAACAAAAATAAATAAATCAATTGCCAACCACTATTTCTGATAATTAGCTCGTGAACGAAGTTGGGACGAAAAAAAGTGTGGGTATTCATGAATTTGTACATCTTTGTGTTTGTGCAGATTTATCTGTGATAAAATCGACCGACAATGAGTGGTTTTTCTTTTGCCCGAAGGATCGTAAGTATCAGAATGGTCAGAGGTCGAACCGGGCTACTCAAAAAGGTTTCTGGAAAGCAACCGGCAACGATAGGAAAATAAATTCTAAGAACGGAGTAACAATTGGGATGAAAAAAAGTCTAGTTTTCCATGAGGGTCGTGCTCCGGAGGGCAAGAGGTCTAATTGGGTGATACATGAGTATCGAGCTATAGAAAAGTCACTCGATGGCACTCATCCTGGTCAGGTTGGACTTCTCTTAGACCCTCTGATTTCTTTTTGTATTAATCCATGGCATTATCATGTTATGTCTGTTTGCGGGCTGTTAATATTCTTAACTATCTGTTGTTTGTAGAATGTTTGTTTGATTGGTATGTTAATTTTCGCATCAAATAGTAGAAGAATGGTAGCTTGCCTTTACTTAATTGAATGGGGAGTTTATTTTCAGGTTTATTGTCTTTTATTCATTTAAGTTTGGAATTCCACTCTGCTCAGAAAAATAAAACAATGGGATATCATTATTTAATTAATTTATAAGTCTATGTTATGTATTGTTTTTTCTTCTTCTGTAATTGATGATGTATGCCTTTTGCAGGGTTCGTTTGTGCTCTGCCGCCTTTTTAAAAAGCCTGACATCAAACAAGAATATAACACTGAAAGTCCAAACATTGATGAATGTGAAGAGATTATACCATCTCCATCTTCTACTATAGTCAGACATTTTGCTGAAGATGAACAATTCAAATCAATTACTCCAGCAGCGAGTCGCCTGGCTGAAAGCCGTATCACCTTAAATTCTGAGAAAGCAACAAGTGACACTCCTATACCTCTTGACCGTGGGGATGCCAGCTTCATTGCTGATGGTCACATGCTGGACCCAATATATATTCCAGTGAGTTCTGAGTTTTGTCAACTTTAAATGAATAGCTATCTTTCTAACATCAATTAATGGCTAATAAATGATACTTTTTTTGTTGTCGCTTTTTTCTTCAGCCTGACCCAGAGCTGGAAAAAGCATTGGATAGTTTTTACCCTACATATCCAGAGCCATTGGATCCAAAAATCTTCTCCCCATTGCACTTGGAAACCAACTTTGGAAATTCTTATTTGGATAAACACTTCTGCGATAACATCAACAGTGATGATAGAGATAACCCAATTCAATATGGAACAAATGATGCTCATATTTGGGAGTTCTTGAACTCGTCTCTTGTCTATTCAGATGAGCATCCCTATGAGGATTATGCAATGTCAACCCTCGAAAGCCCAATATACTTTAACGCATCGGAATTAATTAAGGATATTGATTCATGTAGTGGATCTGACCAGTTACAGGTAAATGGAAGTTGCAAAGTCGCTTGTTGGTGTTTTTTTTTTTTTTTTTGTTTTTTTGCTAGTTACTTTAACTTTCTGAGATTGAGGACCTGTTTGAGCCCCATTATTTCCTTAAAAATGCAATTTTGAATAATAGATTGAAGGAGAATGTTTGGTTATAAAAAAAAGTTTTGGTTTTATGTGTCACAGCCCCGTTTAGTTTTGATTTTCCACCCAAAAAAAATCAATTTTTTGACCGTTACTTTTCTAGGTCAGACTTCTTCACTCACACGTGGGACCACTTCTCTCTTTAACGGTCAAAAAATTGATTTTCAAAATCACTACGGAGCAGACTCATGGTATTTTATTGAATAATGTGGTTGAAAAGAAGATGGAAAATAATGTATTTTGAAAATAATGGGGATCAAACAAGGGTGTTTAGTCTATAATTGAAAATTAACGTTTTGTGATCTTATGACACTCAGCTTGGACAGCATGATGTTCTGCATATGCAAAGTGACTTGGGTATGGAAACTATCCAACCAGAGCCTCTGTCACAGCAAGACATCACTTTCAAAATGACCAGTGCTGGGCAAAATACTCACAGCATGCCTCAAGTCAGCGATCATTTTCAGCGCAGTTATCTAGCACCGAATACTTTCTCAAGCGTCTCTGCTGGCAATCAGATACCTAAAATATTAAACACTACAGATGAACCAGGTGGGTCTAGCAACCTAGTGGCCACTGACAGAACTGTTGGAACTGGAATCAGGTTAAGGACTCGGGAAACTTCGAATCAAGCTAATGCTATGAAGTTTCTATCACATGAAACTGCCTCTAGAAGAATTCGCCTTCAGATGAGATGGCAAGATGTACCAGTTCAGTATGGTCTGCCTCAGGATTCAAAGAATACTGACGTAAACCTTGAAAAAAAGGAATTGGCAGAGACTGAGGTGAGATATTTTGACTGTGAATATATTAGTATGTATATGCCAGATTGGACATTATAATAATAATAAACAACATTCTAGTTTCTTTTCCTTCATCCAATACTGTACAGTCCTTCCTACGAAACAAGCCACTAATGTCTTCGAAGTGGGTTGTGCAGGATTGCAAAGCTACTAATGTTGATACCTTGGATGAGTCAAAGGATATAGATTTCAACAAAAAAATCATAGATGGACAATCTCATGACTCGAGCACAAGTGTGATGGCTCAACCTGTTTTACAAGGTAACAACTCTGAAGATGTTATTTCTGTCGGCTTGAAATGTGCAGTTGCGAGTTCAGTTTCATCATCTGTCTACATGCCAATGGTAGTTGTGGCCATGAGTCTTCTCATCATTCTTGTAGGCGTTTGGGGATACTTTAAATTTTGAATGAACTTGAGAAAGAGAGCTGCCTTTTTTGTACATGACTTCTTTCTTATCTGATAAAGATTAAGAAGGGCTTGTTTGTTATATCTTTTTTTCTTTTTAATTTGTCTTGAGTGCTATGGGTATATCTTGTATAGCAGGAATAATTCTATATGAAGAATTTGTCTTGAGTGCTATTAGGATATCTTGTAGAGCAGGAATAATTTTATATGAAGAATTTGTTTTAACAAGCTTGTTTTAATTGTAGTCCTATTTATTTATTTATTATTATTATTATTTTTATTTTTATATATGCTGAATACCTTAATTGATTATAAACAATGCAGTAGTCATACAATTCTGTCTTGTATCAAAGTCGTCTTTAATTAAAAGCACTTCTTCTAACTTGATGAAGGATGCAGTGTTTTGCATAGCCTTGTTAAAAAAGGCCACTCTATAAAGCCACATCACTGAAATTTTGAAAGTATAAAAAAAAATTACTAGCATTTGGAGGGTTAATTTCTTTTTTGGTCCCTTGTATTTGACTGAAATCTCCAATTGGATAGGGCAACTCTCATATGTTTCAATCAGATTACTAACTTCAATTTAATTTACAATATTAGTCATTAGTTACTAAATGCTAGTAAAAATATGGGTTCCTCTTCTATTCCCAATAGTTGGTTTAATAGGATTGCATTCTTCCTTTCCTTTCTCCATTAAAAAACCTTCTTCTTAACCGCCTTCATCCTGCAAAGTGCTTATTCCCGTTTCTCTCGAACGAACATATCCTGCTCTTTCTTACGAATCTTAAGCCAGTAGAGTAGGGCTTTTTCTGCTTAGCTCGGTTAACATCTCATTCTCAACGTGTCAATGCATTTCTAATGTCAAATTGGATACTTCCTCTACTTTTTCTTGACTCTTAGCTTTTTTTGTCAATCATTCTATCACATTATTTTTTTTACAGTACCTATTTTTAACCACATTTTTCATAAAAATAACATTACACAAATAAAAAAAAAATTCTTCTTTTTTAATTACGCATTTCAACATTAATCACTATTTCATAATACACTTTTTGAAATTAAAGAGGTACAAACAGGTCCTTTTTGTTATTGCGATTGTTTACTAAAAGCCTTACAATCCCTACGAGCATCTTTCTTCAAGATACGAAAATTTGTGGGACTTCATTTCAAGAGTGAAGTTCCCAAATAGGAAAAATGGGGATGGACCAGCCATGAGATGTAAGACTTGTTACATGTTTGACACATGCAAGTGGATGATCATATTCTTTAACGGAATGGAATCTCTTGAAAGAATTGACTATCTCCAGATATGTAACACTAGGAATTTCAATCATATCAAAAGCAACAATGGATGTAACTAGAAAATGGGGCTCCTAGGGTTCTCAAAAAGTAAGGTTGGACCTCAACCGACCATTTGGACTCCAAGCCGTGTGGTTCTTCTTAAATTAAACACACGAATGGACATTTGAATCAAGAACTAATTAGTTTGGTTCGATTCTTGGTTTAGAACCGAATTTTCTGATTTTTTTTTTAAATCTTAAACGAGTCAAATTATTTTATTATTTTAAATAAATTTGCTAACTATTTAATTTAGCCTAAACTCAAAATTTGATTTCCTTATTTCTGATTTTTAGCTCAAGCTTAAACTCATTTTAATCCAAATCTCTTATTTAATCATATTGTTATTCTGCCATTTTGAAAAAATCGAATTGGAAGTTCGTATGTACATCTCTGCATTATTTTGAGTTAGCTATATTTCTCTTTCCGTTATTTTACCATTTAAATCTATGAAGAACTCAATAAAGAGGTGTGCAAAAAATATCAGGGGATTGAACTACGTTATTTTGTAAAACTAAAATTGAACATGACATTAGTTGAATTAATGTAGTTTTGTTGTAAATATTAAAAAAATTAAATTATTCTCTGGAACACGTGAATCGAGTGAAATTGAACCGAATCCAAACGGCACTTACTAAATACCCAAAATTCGAGCTCGATTTGATTCTCATTAGAATCGAACCGAAACCGATCATATCC